CTCTCTCTCTGTCTGTCTCTCTCTCTCTCTCTTCTCTCTCTCTCTCGTCTCTCTCTCTCTCTCTCTCTTCTCTCTCTCTCTCTCTCTCTCTCTCTCTCTCTCTCTCTCTCCTCTCTCTCTCTCTCTCTCTCTCTCTCTCTTCTCTCCTCTCTCTCTCTCTCATCTCTCTCTCTCTCATCCCCTCTCTCTCATCCTCTTCTCTCTCAATCTCTCTCTCTCTCAATCTCTCTTTCTCATTTATTTCATTCTTTTGTCTATTTATAGTTCTATTTTTTTTCTTTTGGAAGAAAATATTACTAAGCTTTTGTTGTAAAGGAGGTTGCTTCTTTTGTGAAAAGATTCAGTTTACTACATTTATGCCAAAGGTCTCTCTGGAGGATTTATTTTCATATAGCAGAATACAGTTAATTTGCAATGTATTTGTAATTTTTTGTACACCACGATTCAGAAGGAATCAACCTATGAAAGAACCTATATTTCATTTAATAGACCTGTAGATCTTAATAATTATCTTTTTACCAGGAAAAGAGAATGCTGGTGTTTGTAGAAGCTTCAGTTATGGAAGAGTCACTGGTCACCAGCCACTCTGGCTTCCCAGTACTGAAGGACAAGCTCATGAGTTTCCGAGAGGGGCAAGATGATCTCACAGACAAAATTGATTTCATCATTTGTTTAGGTGGTGATGGCACTCTCCTCTATGCCTCATCACTCTTTCAGGTAACACTTTTATTGATAGGGATATTTGCAATAAAGTCTTCTTTTTTTTTTTACTTAACGGATTGCTTCCTAGGTATCATTCAGACCAAAGGTCCAAGATGCTTTGCTGTCTATAAAGGAAGGTTATGTATGATTGGATGATCATAAGTTAACATTAGTCTAGATCATTACTGGTTAGGGGATCAATACTATTATTTTTTTATTCATTTATTTTGATTCAAATCACTTCACTTTATTCTATTTAAAGCTACATTATTTACTTCTGTTGAAGTTGCAAATAAATCACATGCCGTAGATTTTAGAATATCTGTAGCATTCTGACTGTTATTTTACTTTCATTTTGATTTTATTCAAACAGCAAAGTGTGCCACCAGTTATGGCCTTCCACCTTGGGTCCCTGGGTTTTCTCACTCCCTTCAAATTCGACAATTTTCAGGATCAGGTCACTAATGTCCTTGAGGGTAAGTACTGTTTTTATCATACTGATCATGGTAATAAGTTACATTTTGTCATCTTCTACTTCTGTTTCCCAGAAAAAATACTGCTCAATATTGATATAGTGAACAGTTGATTTTGTAGCTTTTAGGAGTGACCAAACAAATTATAGATTTGTTATGATTGATGGTGTTAAGATAGGCTAATCAAAGTAATTTTGGTGTTGTCAGTGAAATGAGAGCTTTTTTATAAAGTATTTGTGTTTAGATTTTAAAGAATGTTTTAAAAAAATCAAAATTGCAAAATATATATATACATATGATATGAAAAATAGAAAGAATAGTAAGAGCAGAAAAATGGCACACAAAGGAAATATGTCTTAAAGTGTTTTTGGAATGTGAATGACATTATACTACCACACTAGAGGTTTCTGTCAAGAATGATGAATTTCAAAATCTGTTGCTTTATAATTCCAGGCCATGCAGCCCTGACCTTGAGATCACGTCTGAGATGCATAATCCTTCGCAAAGACCAAGAGACTGGTAAGGGTGGCTGCCCCCCCACAAACCTCTTGGTATTGAATGAAGTGGTCATTGACCGTGGACCCTCGCCATATCTCTCCAACATTGACCTCTACCTTGATGGCAAGAGAATCACCTCAGTACAAGGAGATGGTATGTACACCATTGACCTAACTGACCGCTGTAAGACCTTATGTAGCAACTGTCATGCTCAGGTATGTCTGTTACCCAGGATAACAGGCAACAAAATTCATTTTTATGAGCTTGTTTTCTTTCTCTTTTTGCTTGTTGCTATTTGCTTCCTTGCTTTTATCATCATAGTGGTACACATCATATGGCACTGTAGGTATGTGACAATACATACCTGAGATTTAGCACTTGTGGAAGTAGGTGTTAGGAAATTTGCTGTGATTGTGTACAGTAGCTATATCATTGGATATAATAGCCAACTGCAAGAGTTACATGGTATTATTTTATATAGATATTTACAGTTAGTTTGCCACCAGTAGACTGTAATCCATCAGTTTTCAATATTTCTCACTCTGTGACCCTGACCAATATATGATGTTATGTTAGTGCCAGTATTTATAGGACAGAGGTTTTTGGGGAGACATTTCCAGGATGAATTAAGAAAGAAGTAAAGAACATGGTTTTAGAGGGATAAGAAACGGTCAGTAAGAACAGAAATTCAAACTTAGGTAGACTATCGTAAATTTAAGGTAGTAGAAGCATACTTATGAATTTTCCTTAATCTTATCAATATTGGCCCATTATCTTATTGAGAGCATGATATATATAATGAAAGAAATTACTAATGCCTCCTAAGAGGCACATACCCCATAGGTTAAACTATTACTGCCTGGAGCAGGTAATGTGCACTGCAGTTTAGTTTGTGAATTGTATTTACACACAGATGGCTCCACAAATGCTCAGCCATCAAGAAGTCATGTTATATGTTGGCAATTAGGGTGGTGCATGACACCGGAAACTTGTCTCATGATCAATAATGGGATTGACAACTAACTATTTTACAAGATTGGTTATTTTTGACTGGTGCACAGTATTTTGGAATTTAGTGTGATCATAAATTTGAGTTTAAATCATGATTTTCAAATAACTTAATAGCCCATGGGTTAGGAACCTCATACCTGGAGTATTCTTGCATTGCCAGAATACTACAATTTCATATTGGTTATTTGAGAATATTATAAAAAGATCATCATGAATAAATTATACGAAATACTAATGATAATTGAGTATGAAAAAAGCAACAACACTAGTGTACTACTGCATTTCTTAAAAGCAATAAGTCATCTCATTGAGTCCTTCTTTCTATGCTATCCCCATAGGCTTGATTGTGTCAACTCCTACAGGCAGCACAGCCTATGCTGTCGCTGCTGGAGCCTCCATGATCCACCCATCGGTACCAGCCATCATGGTGACCCCAATATGCCCTCACTCCCTCTCCTTCAGGCCCATTGTTGTGCCAGCAGGTGTTGAGCTCAAGGTAAGGACACTTCTTTCTTCATCTTTTCTTGTGAGGAAAACAGTATTTATTGGCTTTTGAACTTCATTTTTGTTTACTTCAGTGTTTTGTTTACATTTTGTGACATTATGTAGATGGAGCCATGGCTTTCAATAGACATATTTTGTTAGAGATCTAAATGGGAGAATATCAGGGATTTTACCTGTAATAGTAATTTTATGGAAAATGTAATTTAACTGTTCTTCTTTGATTAATATCATTGCTGTGATTATTACTATTATTATCATTATTATTTCCATTATCATTATTATTTTTGTTACTAATATTGTTCATAAGCAGTGAAAAATGCTGATGGTCTATTGAAATATGTGTGTTACAGTACATGAATCATAGAATTAAATGCAATGATACATACACACACGCATACGCACACACACACATACACACACA